GTTAATTTTGATTATTGAGGAGCAGAACAAGCACCTCGTTCTACTGAACTTCTCACTGTGAATCTGGGAAAAGGTGATCTAAATGCATTTTGTTGCTTGTTCTTACTTTGTGAATAAATTTGTCCAGGAATATTTTTAAAAATTAGAGCCAATATGACAGTATTTTTGTTAATCTTTCTCTTTGAGGGACCCCGTATGTCTTCTTGAATACGACTGATGGATCCCATTTCAGTGAATGATGGTACTAATAATGTGAATCAGGCTTAAATCCAAGAATAGAAAAAGCCCTTTTTTACTGAATTAGTTGCATGATCTACCTAGTTATAGAAGTGTCAGAAAAAGGTTTTTTTTCTTCTCTTCATGTTATTTTGACTGTGCTACAGTAAGTGTTATGTTCTTGGCCATATTCACACACAAGGTTAAGTTATTCTTTTTTTTCCATACATGCATAGTGAATGATTGGATTAAATAAGAATTAGCAGAGCAGATCCTATCAGCAACTCTCCCAAGTGTTGCAGGAAGCAGCAGAAGGATGATTGCTTAGGATAACTGACATGAACTGCTGTAGACTGATGCCAATGTATGGTCAGTGAGGAGAGGAAGAAGACAAAAAAAGGAAAAGAAAAAAATTTTTTTTTAAAGACTGAAACATTTAAGACAGCAGGGAAGCCTTTTGTAGAAGGAATGAAATAAATCTTGTATTGCTTTCTGTCTGTGCGGCATGTATGGTCGCTGCATTTGTTTTCAGTAGCTCCTGTGGCTTGCGATAGCAGCGAAAACCTGCAGGACAGATGGATATATAGTCATTGGCAAAGCTGTGTTTTCAGAAGCTGCTGATATATGTAGTTATACAAATCTCTTCTTGTATTTACACACTAAGGGAGTAATTTTTTTATACTGGTAGTAGATTTGTTGGTAAAGTTGTGTCTAAAGAAGGAAAACCTTGTGTTTATTTGGTAGTTTTCTACTGGAGTGTTCTTAGTATAGAGACACACAGATATTCGCTGTTGGAGCCATGCTTTCTGGTTGTTATCAATTTTATAAACTGGGTTTTGTGGGGGTTTTTTTGTTTGGTTTGTTTGGTTTTTTATATAGCAGAGAGATTTTCTCTGCGGAATTTTTATGCTTTCCATCCTTACAAAAGACAGATGGACTTGTTTATCTGCTGTGAGGTTCAGGGACAGATTATAGATTATTTTGCTTTGTGTCATTTAAAACATTCTTATTTATGAGCAAGGAAGTTGGCAATAATCACGTGAGTCATGGTGGAAAAATTATCTGCAGGCTGCTGCTCCTGTTGTCCTAATAGGCTTAAAGGAATTACCACCGATGTAAATAATAGTTCTGTGTGCCGCTGGTGCGCAAGGCAGGGCAGGCAAACGCTAAATATAAAGGATGTGTTTTGGGTAAAGCCCTTCCCATATGATTTTTGCAGAAATAACACTGTAAAGTGAGTAATCCATTTTGATTTCTAATAAGCCACGTTAACAATCTTTGTAAAGATAGATTGTTTAATTAAAAATCCAAACACCACCTCAAGACATTAAGAATTTAAGACTCTGAGCCTGGAGCAGTGTTAGCATGTGCATCTCTGTAACACCCT